GGGAACTGCTGGGTCTCTGTAAATAATTTCATAGGGTGTACAGTCTGGACCTACTCTATTTGAAAAGTGTCCTGAGATAACTTTTGTTGTGAATTGGCGTTATACAAATAAAACTGAATTGAACACGTGGGAGTATTCCGAAAAAGGCTAAAGTGTTTTAACCAGCAAGTTCAAGAGAATCTAGATGATCACAGGAAATTGTTTTGGTGTCTTTTCTACTTCCTGTATAAGCCTGAAAGACAATGTATTTTGCTCTGACTGGAGCACTTTTTCATTGAGGACATTTACTATATAGCGTAGCGACCATAGAGTCAGCACCCTGCCCTGAGTTATTGCTCACTCTCTGAACTTAGTGGCCTAGAACAATATCTAACTTTAGCGTGGACTGTTTTTAAATTCACACATTCTCTCGCTCTGTTATTCACTGTCTCTCAGTTCTCACTTTCACCCCGTTTGCCACCTGCCGACTTGTGCACTCTTAGCCACTAACTTCAGGCAATTAAGAAAATAAACAGAATGTCCTCGGTTCCCCAGGGTCCATTAATCTTTCTTTTTCCTATTACACCATGCTGTAGCTGGCCTGGCAAGGTGCCTGGCCATCAACAATGGGTAACCAGTAGACACCCACAACTATGCAGCCTCCACTTCACTGGGCAAAATGTAAAATGTGTCAGCAGCAATTTTGGTCATATTTACCACAGCTATATGACATGTTGAGATTAAATAGTGATGTGTGGTTATTGGCTTGCCATGGTAACAATAGAGCCCCTTTGGGAGAGTTGGGCCTGTGTGTAGATGTTATTTATAGTGTGTAAACGTCAAGGAAAATAATCTCATATATCATTTTTCACCTCCAATTAACTATAAAGGCATTTGTGTTTCATTCAGTGAGCCGCGGCTGGAATGTGAGAGCGTTGTGAGAACTGTGGGTCACGAGTGGATGTCAAGGCCATTTTTTGATATAATAGCTCAAATAAACTTTAGTGGGTGGGAGTTCTCATACTGCTGACACCTTCATGTCAACACAGTGGCCTAAATCAGAGCAGGAATATGATCATAGTAGTCATAACAGTTGAGATACCTTTGATGTGAAATGTAAAAAGTTCAAGAGGGCAGCACTCTGTGTTCTTTCACTCGGTGGCACATACTGGTGTTGAACCTTTTCAAAGACATATTGGGAATTTTTGCCTATTGGCATCATAGTATATAGTCCGGGTAAAATTTAAAGGATTAGTGTGACATTTTGGGAAAAATCGTTTATTTGCTCTCTTGCTGAGAGTTACATGAGAAGATTGATACCACTCGTGTCTGTCCGTTAAAAATAAGAAGCTCTTCACATTTAGCGTGATAGATATTATAGAGTGCAATCCATGTAACTCTTATAAGTGTATTTCACAAAACCATCAAACTATTCCTTAACCCTTTGGTTATCAAGAGAAACTTAGTTTTTCAGGGAGATATAATTCATTTTGGTCCCATCGCACAATTTAAAAAGCAATCAGGCATCTATAGACCGCTGACCATTTGGATTTGTATGTTGTTTGTTCCAAGTTCTCTCTCTGCAAGTAGGTCACGGCCAAAGGCTAAGACATTTCAAGTTCTTCAAAGAGAACATATGTTGAGTTTTTACACACAAAGGTTAAAGATCGCCTCTTGACAGCCTTGAGGTCAATGTAGCATCATCTATCTCTGTGAGGGAGTCTCTTACAAGTATATTGATTTTCCATTGAATGTGTCTACTCCCTGTGGACAGAATAATGTGTGTGTGCGTGTGTGCCTGTGTGTTTAAGAGTGGAATTTCAATGGTTGTCAGGGGAACAGCAGGACAATCTCCTGACATAAATTGCCTCAAAAGTACCGACACACACACATCTACACACAGAGGAGTTCATAAACACATCGGCCTGTAACATATATATCTAACTTCAGACGCTGACTGTGCATGGTAGGATCATTTTCACCCACTTTTAACACATGAAAAAGCTGTGACTATCTGGAATAGTGTTATATACCGTACCATAGTGCTGCTCTGGGCGCCTCCTCTGCCTGTTTCCATGCTGTAACCTCTTCCTTTCCTCTTCCCACTCTTCCTGTTGTCCAGATGAAAGGCAAAAGGGGGAATGATCAAAGAGAAAAACGGTACGTATGAAGACTGTCTCCATTTGGTTTCATGGAATTGTGACTATATTAGACGAGAGGAGAGGAGAGGACTTGCCAAAGAGCTGTCAATCCATGAGGCCAGCAGGTTGCTACTTTGGGAACAGACACACTCGAATACAGTCCGTTGTGGGAATAGATGCATGATTTAAATACACTGTCTCCATTACGCGAGGCTACAGCACCCACGAGAGCCACTATTTATCCAATGTAATAAATTGGATTAATTATATTTGCCTAAAATGTTCTCACTCTCAAGCATCGTTTCCATCATTAAGGGGGAACTCTGACTCATATCTGACCATCGGTGTAAAACCAACATCTGTCATCTGAACCAGCAGTGATGTGACACCTGAGCTGTCGCGTCTATATTTTTACAGTTTAAGCAAAATGCTAACTTTGTGTTCTCTTAACCCTGAGTCTATTTTCATAATATTTCATCTTTTCATAGATGTCTTAATAGATTTATGCCATTAGGTATTCTAAGAGTGGGTCAGTTTGTTCTAGAGAGACAGCCTTAGGTGTGAAGGAAACTTCTGCCTGCCAAAACAGTGCAGTCGACCGGAACTTACTGGGCCATTTATATTCAACCAATTTGGCTTTTCCCTAGCAGAGGTGAACAAACTCTCCTAAATGCCTCTTAAATTATATCCTAATGACATTTTCTCACTAAGCTTCCTAGTATGACTTTGTTGGCTTTCCTTTGACATTTAAAGTGATATATCATATTTATCATCTTAAATATGGTGCTAAACTGTTTACCTCATGTAAGTCTACCTGTCTATAAAAGGTTACATAAGTTTACCCGTAATAAAAATACAGATGTAATGATGATTCTGGTCAAAGACCTATTTTAGAATACACTACAGCCTTTTCCAGGGGATGCTGTCTCTACACAACCTATATTGTTAGACTCTAGGTTCCAATAGTAAAAACTTTGCTTTAACAGCAAAAAGCTAATAAATTATATTCTAGTGGTACCACAACTGATTGAAAGTTAGATATTGTATTGTTTTTGGATGTTGGCACAGTCTATGAAACTATATGTCTATATTATAGACCATCTAACTAAATGCCTGTATTTCTGCATTGGCATTAATAAAATCGCAGCTTGGATTTACTGGATATGTTCAAATCATTGGAAATCATCATTAGCTATTTCTATTGATGGTCATTATGAGCTAAACCTATGTAATCTCCATTTCCAGCATGCAGCAGCAAGAATACTGATGCTAATAGGATTATAATAGGATTTAGAGCTCAACATTAAAGTATTGGGTTTACTACAGTGAAAGCTTTGACCTCTTAAGACACTTTGCCAGAGGAGTGAGTGACAATGCTGCAACTATCAATACTGTTGTTCAGATAGATCATTAGTGATGTCTAGAACTTCTTCAACAAAGAAAAGGAGGATGTTTAGGGAGGATTTAATAAGATTTAAAGACTGGGCAGAGCTGAGCTGTGAGAGGCAAAGGAGGAAGGTGGAGCAGAAGTTGCTGGTCTGGATTCAACACAATTCTCTTAGTGATAGACAAGCTGACAGTGGTCTCATACCTGGTGACCTGGATCATGTGCTACCTCACGGGAAGATGGTTGCGGGCTGAGGGACTGCTTCTCTACTGTGATCTGTGGCACACTACAGTCGTATTCAACCTTTACACTTCCAATTTCAAGTTCAACTCTGAGTCATGCCACATGCAGAAGGTCTCAGATGACACTGCGATTGTTGGGTGAATTAAGCGTGGACAGGAGGGCAAGCACAGGAAGCTAGTGGAAGACTTTGTGACGCGGCGCAGGTCGAATCATCTGCAACAAGCAGATGGTGGTGGACTTCCAGAGGACCAGGCTGGGCTTTAATGAGGGGGGTCAGGACCTTTAAGTACCAGAGGCTGCAGCTGAACAGTAGACTGGACTGGTCAGCAAACACTGACACTCTTTTCAGAAAGGGACAGAACTGGCTTTGTTTTCTGAGGAGAGTGGGGTTCTTCAACATCTGTATCAAACTACTGCTGATGTTTTATCAGTCAGCTGTTGCCAGCGCTCTCTTTCATGCTGGGGTGGCGGCTTTAAAAAGTTTTCTGTGGTGGTCACATTGTTGGATTCTCTTATCTAAATAAATAACCTGATGTTCATCATAGACAATGCCGCCCCTGCACAGCACATTCACCAGTCAGAGGAGTACGTTCAGTGTCTCAGTCCCGCTCAACAGACCCCAACAGCTATTCAACCCCTCCCCATTATTTAAATGCTCATTCTGTCATTAGGCTGCTTGTCAGTCAGTCATTGGCTGCATCAGCAATATGCACAATTGGCATTCATATTTGTTTATCATTTGTATCTTACTTTACATTTATATGTAATATTATCACTATGTGTATGTTTAATGCAAGTTACTTGGTTGACTTAGTCTTATCTGCATTTGTGTTTGTTCATATATTTATCTTTAATCAGTATTTTATAGTACACATAGCAATTATTATATCTCTCTGTGTTATCTTATCTTGCCCTGTTTTCACATTTTAATTACTTTTTAACCACCTTACATTTCCTATCTATCTTAAATGAACACCCTATGACTATTTGAGTCTATCACGCATTAAAATGCAAAACACAAATATGGAATACATGTACACATGCATACTCCACTACAGGAATAATGTACTTCTTTAGTTTTAGTAAGATATAGTAAATGCATTATCGCTCCTCCAGTAAAGTCGCTTTTACCAAATAGGCTTCCATACTTCTCCACAGACTGACACTTGCTTGAACCTGTAAGGTCGGACGGAGAGAGTGGCTGCGGGCTGCCACAGATCTACACAACGTCCCGTTTGCATGCCCAGCTGCACTAGCAGGAATCCCCCATTTGCATGCGTCCCATCCACACAGTGCACATTCCTTTAAACGGAGGCTGTCGGAGGGGCGTGCACCAAGAGTCGCTCTTTTCGCACCAGCAGGGACACTGTTCGCCCACCGAGAGAGAGAGCTTCACCATGGCCTCAGCACTGAATTGCACACCCTTTATGTTGTGTTTTATTTATTTGTCGTTACTGTTTGCAAGCGTGTTTTGCGACGCCGATGCAGAAGAAGATGAGCATGCCAAGCACTCGTACACTGTGGAGATGTTCAACGAGGCGGTGCCCACTGCACCCCACTTTGTCATGTTTTTCGCCCCATGGTAAGTGAACAGTTAGTTATCAAGTTTTTCCCCAGACGACGTTGAATAAATGGTTTGGTGATAGCCCTTCTCTTTTCTTTTCACCCCCTGTTTGCCCCGAAACTATTGGGCAGAAAGTGTCTGTCAGAGTGGGAGCTGCGCTAACCGGCAAGTTAGCACACAAGCTAGCTAGCTGGCGAGCTAGTTAGCTACCTAGCCTCTTCCCTTTGGTTAACCGGTGGGGTTAGCTTAGCGGCTAGCTAGCCGACTGCAGTTTAGTGGACTGGAGCACTTTTCTCACGGGCCTCGGAGCTAACAAGGCTAGTACTTCACTAGCTGTTTGGATTTAATTAAAAAGGTTGTGCTGAACGTGTAACGGGGGACTTTAACCATTGAATGCAGTTTGTAAACGCAGTGTTTATTCACAGTTAGTGCAGATAAAGTCAATCCCAGTTCAAAGCTGCACTCTGTGGAGCTGCGCTTACGTGGCACGCACTGATTGACTGATGTTATGTCAGCGGTTCCAAAATAGGGTCCACGGACCCTCGAAGGTCCCTGAGGGAGGGGGAGGGGGAGGGGGGTCTGCTTAATGCGCAACAAAAGTTGTTCAATACAATAAAAGTAGCTGAAGTCTATCATCGTCCAATTGGATACAGATAACGAGAGGGAGAGAGAGAGATAAAGACAGTTTGTCTGGAGATAAGGTCGATGGCTGCACACTAACATGTCAGTTATCTTCCACTGGGATCTGTAGGACCAAACCTTTGTCTGATGCTCTAGTTGGTGTTCTTCACACGGTCTGTGCAACTTTAGAGTTGCATGCAGTGTCTTTTCTGTCTTCTCTACTTTTGGCCTTGATATCCTGTTACTGCAACAAAGCAGTGCTATCAACAGGTTTCAACTCAGATTTCTGACTCTGACACTGAGACTGTTGTTAGCTTTTGCACTGACATGGATTCACATTATTTGTGTGTATTCATTAGGGGATCGTAATCTCAATAAGGACCACTCTTTGTGGCTTTCTGGGACAGCAATAACCATTGATCGTATTCTTCTTCTTCTTAATCATTCTGAGGAGAGTGGAGAAATCAAATGTTTCAGTTGTCGGCCTCCACCCACAAGAATATTACCTTAGATACGCCACTATAAACCTCCATATCATCTTCATCACGTGGGTCATTAAAGCACGTTATGCCACATTTGCTTTGAAAGTGTGGTCCGTTCAGAGCGTTGGTGTATGTAAATGTGTAAAAGCTTTAAGAATAACATGTGCTGTACATTGATGGTATTTATTGTTTCCAGGTGCGGCCACTGCCAGAGGTTACAGCCCGCATGGAATGAACTAGCAGACAAATACAACAGCATGGATGAGCCCCCGGTATATGTGGTAAAAGTAGACTGCGTCCAGGACACCAAGTTCTGCTCCAATGTCCACGGAGTTAGGGGATACCCCACGTAAGTCATTCTTGAATTCACCAATTCATATTAAGCTGTTGACATGCCCAGATAGTTCACGTTTTTAGATCAATAACTGAAACAAATTGTTTGATAAAATAATGCTCTGTCACTGATTGACAGAGAAGTGACACATTGACCTGCATTTAGTTGAATATTGTGCCAGTGTATCTTAATGGCGTCCTTTTAAAGCTTGGATGTTGCTGACTGCATACTGTACCTGCAAACACAGCAGTCACTGGATAATGATTTACAGAACTTTTCTAACAATATAATAAATCACAGAGTCCCTGAGTTTGCAACGATGATCGATTGGACTAGTTAGAAATAGTGTGTACACACATGGGACATTAAGTTAAAGTATACTATCTTATCTAAGCTTTAGAGTTGAATTATCACTCTGCCTTAATACAATTAATTCAATTCAAAACTTTTTTTTTTTTTGTGTGTAGGCTGAAGTTGTTTAAGCCAGACCAGGAGGCAGTTAAGTACCAGGGGCCCAGAGATCTGCAGTCTCTGGAGACCTGGATGCTGAAGACACTCCAGGAGGAGCCTACAGTGAGTTGTGTTCACTCAGTTAACACCTAAAGGCAATAAACCAGTGGACCCTTACAGTGCAAGGACGGTGGTGTTCATAAACGCTTGTTCTTGTGTGTTCTCCAGGAACCAGAGGCTGAACTGGAGCCTCCTAAAGCCCCAGAGCCCAAACAGGGCATGTATGAGCTCACCGCTCTCAACTTTAAGGCTCATGTAGCCAAAGGTAAAGATCTACTAAAACATTTATAATTCTTCATGAAAGTGCTGTTGTACCATTTAACCTAGACTAATCAAACAGATAACTTCATCTTGTGTATTTTTGCGCAGCTGCATCCTGCAACAGATTGTTTCTGTTAATTTCAGTTGTACTTTCAGTTTTCAACCACACTAAATAGTGTTTCCGGATCCCTCGTTGGAGAATGGAAACCCTTCATTACCTTGATTGACATAACTGACATTTCAACGCTAGTACCTGAGCTACAGTCTACAGCGTCAGTCAACTCAAACCAACTGTACAACACTTGTCTCCTGTCACCTCACTTCTCTGGATTTTCAGACAACCACTGCAAAAATAAACAGTGCTCAAGATAATTGTCACGCTGAAATTGTGGCTCTTGAGCTGCACTGAAGTTGAAATGTTTTGGTTTTGAAGAAAAATAAATGATTTCTTGTCTGGAGACTAAAAAAGGCAGGATATGACATAGGCATTTTTTAAAACGGTGTTTATAGGTCCCACCTTCACATCTTGGCAACAGAGCTGCAGTAAACGTTGTGTAATTGGTTGCATATAACCCCTGGATGAGAAGTGTATGTTTTCATTTACGGCAGGTCGTGTTGAGTTTGTAGTGGGATCAACTTTTTACATTAATCCATCAAATCTAAAATCTGAACACAAACTTTAGCACTGAATTCTACACAAAATTGGTACTTACTTATTATATGTATTTCATGTTCATTTTGTTTTCCATTTGTGTTTTATTTTCTAGCTAGTTATCTGCAGTTTCTCTTTTTAATTTTCTTTTCTCCTCTTGCTTCAGGTGCCCATTTTGTCAAGTTCTTTGCCCCATGGTGTGGTCATTGCAAAGCCATGGCCCCAACCTGGGAGCAGCTGGCTACCACCTTTGAGCACTCTGATGATGTCAAGATAGGAAAGGTGGGTCCTTCAGACTGTGCACAGGTTGACATGTTAATGATACAGCTACTCATAAATAATCAGATATTAAAACAATAAAACACCACAGTGACATGTTTAAAAACAAATACAATAATGGTTGCTGCCTTTCTTTCCACAAAAATAAGTTTCTGTTGTTTTGGTTTTCTATTACCCATCCTATAAGTTGAACTCTCTTTGTGACAAGCTTTTAATAGTAAACACTGTTATTGCAGTGTTAAAGCAGTCCTCCATTTTCTCTCTTCATTGCAAGTCTCCTTACACTACCAACATTGTCATACCTGTTACAAAGAACAGGATGCTGGCCATATGAGAGGCTACCTGTTTGCATAGTGGGTTATTAAACAAACACATCTTAAGCAAATTTGCAGGCTCCGTGTTTGCATTGACGATTTACTGTAGTTTAATAACACATGTTCATATATCTGTGACCTAGGTGGACTGCACGCAGCACTATGAGGTGTGCTCTGAGAACGGTGTACGGGGATATCCCACGCTGCTCTTCTTCTACAACGGACAGAAGGTATGGAAGACATTTTGGACTGCTACAGCCTGACTGCATCATCTGACCTGTTGCCACTGTGGCTGTCATGTTGTTTCTCATCGACACCCTCTAACTTTTACTGCAAACTGTACGTGACATTACATCATTCTGGCTGTTAATCGCAACAGATGATGTTGACATTGATGCCACTGCAGCTGAAACTAAATTTGCTCATTGAAAGGCACACGTAGTATTTGGTTTTGCTATGTGTTGTATTCTTAGTGTGTGAAAAAGTGTCAGTGGTAGGTCCATAGGTAAAAATCTTTCAAAAAAATCTTCATATGACAATGGGATAACTGACTATGCAGAGGCATGATTCAAATAACCTACTAATTACTTGTGATTTGTGATAACAGTGAGGTTTTAATTCTTGTGTGCATCTTTTTGTAGACAGACCAGTACAAAGGAAAAAGAGACCTGGACTCTTTCAAAGACTTTGTGGACAACCAGCTGAAGGCTGCCGTTGCTGAGGTTCAAGACCAGGAACCAAGTGAGGAGCAAAAAGCAAACGAGATCCTCACTGATGAGCCAGCCAAAGAGGAAGTAAAGGTGGGTGTGAACAACAAATAATGTGGTAGGATGCTTTTCAGAGGTTATGTTAATGGGCCTTCAGATTGCTACAGTGCCTGTTGAGCAGGTGTCCGTTCCTCAGTTGGCTCTAATGTGTTTGAATGATTTTGCCAGGCACTTGAAAGGCCTTAGACACCATACTTGATACTACATGCTGATTCTAACATGGCTTTAACAATCCCATGTATTGCACGCGTGTGTCCAACCAGGCTACAGAAGCATTACAGCCCATATTATAATGACTTCTTTCATTGGGGAATCTGCTTTGCATTAACAGCTGCAAAGGTTGGGGGCACAATCATGGTATGATACAGTACAACCACTAATGTTTGATTAGGCTGGACCAAACATATGGCAGCCATCTTTACCTGCATATTCATAAAGCTCTCTAAGCACCCACTCAACTATGTGCCTCTCAACTAGCAATTATGGTTGGGCTAGCTATTTCCTGCATTGTTTTTTAAGTGATTTTTAATGAGGTTATGTGGACATGAATGGGGACCCTAAAATTGCCATTGCAACCCACCTCATAGCGGCTTGTGTACAAAGTGATTGAATCAGCACAGTTATATTAAATATCAGTTTCTTTCCTCTCTGCAGTCCGGCGTGTTGACCCTCACAGAGAACAACTTTGACGAGACTGTGGCCAAGGGCATCACCTTCATCAAGTTCTACGCTCCATGGTAACATCGTCATTCAGATATTAAAGAAATATACTAATTGGCCTGTAAATGTAATAGTTCTGTTTTATTTTTCACATCTTTAAGGTTCTGTTCCTGTGCCTTTAGCCTCTTCTGCAATGTAGCTTTATATGTGACCCTGCTGCACTAGCTGCACATCATATAATACTATACTTCCATGAGTTGATTCAAATGACTTCTGTACAGTTCTTTAAGGGCCTGCAAAGGAGTTTGAATATAAACACATATATACATTTGAAAAGTAGTGAGTCTTACTGCAAACACAAACATTACAGTCTCGCAGTAATTGCTCCGTTCAGTTTAAGTGATGTAAGTCCTGTGTTATCCTGCTGTCAACTGTAGGTGTGGTCACTGTAAGAACCTCGCTCCAACGTGGGAGGATCTCTCCAAGAAGGAGTTTTCCGGCCTCACGGACGTCAAGATAGCCAAAGTGGACTGCACTGTTGAGCGCACACTCTGCAACAAGTACTCTGTAAGTATCTTCAATCATCCTCAATTTATACTGTAAGACACCATCTAAACCCAACATGTAGCACTCTCTATCTCTTTGTCTCACATACCCTTCTGTCAGCCTTTTTATTTCTTCAGGATTAAGTGTGTTGAACAGGATGTAATAAAACAAAGATGGGGGTTTTAACACAGAGCCATAAAACAGTACGGCTGCCACATACTTTAATTAGATGCCACAGACTCTAATCCTAAAGCAGATTTAACACATGGGTAAAATTCAGTTGGATGTCTGAATGATGTTATTGAGAGGAAAGTCCAGTGCATTATGTAATGTTGACATGGCTTTATAATTAAAGTATGTGAAGACATTACACACACAAACTAACCCACAACAATAAAGTAATAAAGAGATCAATAACATTAAATCTTTAAAAAGGAAAGGTCTTGAACTTCCCATCACTATTCAGTTTTGTTTGCTGTTTTGAAATGAAATGGATCATTGTAAAGCCAGTTTGTCACTGTATACAATGCACGTTGTACTGCTGCGTCACAGTTCAAGATCCACAGTTCAGTTATCTGTCTGAAGATTCACTGTCATAAAATGTGCCCCTTTTTTAGATATTCAAGATATCTTCTCATAAAACTTCACACGTCACTGTGATCTTACCTCTTTAACATTACCTCTATCAGAGAGGACGTGACTGTTTTAATGAAGTTTGATGGACGGAACAGTGTCACCACTGGGGCAATTTGACCAATTGAATGGTTTAGAAAGATGACAAAGCACATGGAATAAACCACTGGTCTTTCCTCTTCAGGTTCGAGGTTACCCCACCTTGATCGTCTTCAGGGCGGGCGTGCAGGGTGACGAGCATCACGGTGGGCGGGACCTGGAGAGCCTGCACGGCTTTGTGATGAGGCAGGCGAGAGACGAGCTGTAGAAACGGTCAGCACTCCACTCTCCAGCACTCTGCTCGCCCACACTGCATAACTGGCCAGTAGGACACCACTCTCTCTCCTACAGTAACCAAACCTCTCTCTATCTCTCTCTCCACTCGGGATCTCTTCAGAAAGGAGTCAGCCAATGACAGACTGTAGTCTGTTCTCTCTCCACTTTTCAAGGACAGAATGATTCAGTAGAGTGTTTTGGATGTGAATGTATTTCTCATTGCTGTTGCCCAACCTTAAATCTTCTAACAGGGAGAAAACTATCATTTGGTTGGGTCTACAAATGACGTAATACGTCTGACAACCACTTTGCAAGCACTGCTCAATCAATCAGAACCAGAATTCCTTGCACAAATAAAAACTGTTGTTTATTAAAAGGGTAAGGACAGATGTCCCAGTTTCTGTCTGTTAAAGAAATCAATAGTTTCTGATCAACTTCTGTAGCCATTTACTTATTTTTTTCTAAATGCTAAATTTTATACATGGGATCTGTTGTTAAATCCTAAGCCATTAAAGTTATGGTACTGCCATTCAGAACTTTGTGTCACCCAAATGTGAAGTTGAGTGTTAAGTTGAGGGTGTTTTCTATCCATGCCAGTGATGGCCTATCTAACTTAACTCTCAGGGAAACGCCCTTGCAGACTAGAAGAAGCTGTGACAGAGGCATCGTTGTTAACACAGGAGTCTAGGACTAACACAGGTCTAACAGAGGAGTCGTGGCACATGGACATGACCACTCCTCTTCATGAGGTAGATTTTTTAGCTTTTGGAAATAACAACCAGATAAGCTTGGTAAACTACACATCACGAGTATGGATCTTGCCCGTTTTCTAACTCCTGTGATCTCATTCAGCCATCCCTCTCTACTCTTCCTAGTATTCAGGGTCTCAGGCCTGGACCATGTTGCCCCATTTCTCCACCACTGAACGTCTTTAGAGTTACTACTGCTTCAGTTTTCACTGTTTTGTTTATTCAGAAACACCCATCAGATGCAGCTCAGTTAATACTGCGGATTGGATTTAAATCTATATTTACAACTGGCTCTACGTTTGATCCTTTTGTAGTACAAGAAGTGTGAATGTAAAGTGTGCTGTATCTCTCAGGCCAGACCCATGTTTAAAGGATTTGGGAACCTGTAAGTGGAGTGGAAGAGGACACTTGGAGCCAGTACTGAGGGTTAAACATGCAGTGTAAGTTCAGGATGTTGAAAAGAAAGAATAGGTTTCATCAGAGCGTTTACAAGTTTACTTCTGCAGGTGGATATTTTTGTAATAATATTTGTGAGGTTGGAACTGACAGACATTTTACTGCAGCTCAGGGTCAGGCTAGCATCATATCACCTTTCTGACTATGATTGTGATCTATTCTTACCTTTTGGTCCCAAATTCTGTTCTTAGATATCACAATAGCTGACAGTGAAAAACCCATGCTGTGAACTCAAAAGCTTTAGGCACCAAAAACTATGGATTAATAGTTTTAGTTGTGTATAGTTTAAGTTAAATAGAAAGTGGGGCAATCTGGTGGTAATGTGCAGCCTCACCAGCTGCTGGTTTCTGAGTCTCACTAATCAGTAAAATGATATGATGATGATGATGGAGAAGTAGCATTATTTTCCTTATGCAACCAAAATAAACCATAATTTGGCTGGTGGCTGGTTTTAATGTCCCATTCTTTGATTATAACCACTGGTGAGATGAATCAGCCAAACTGAAATCTTCTTTAGTCTGCTGTATACTGTATCATAAACATCAACCCACAAATCCAATAGTCAAAGGCCAAGAATATGTCATCTGTCACAGGCCCGGTTCTAATAGCATTTGCAGTTTTTGCTAATAAAAGTTCCCTTCAGCGCACTTTTCTGTGACTGACTTCACCCAGCTGATCGTGCCCATTACACTGCAAATGCTCTTTGACCTAGGTTATGTGAAAAGAATGTGCTGCGTGATGCAGGGCACAATTTATTGTCTAAACCCAGGTACACAAACAGACACACAGCAGTTTTTTTTGTCAGTAAAAGTTTTTATGGATAGCACATGGTCAAAGGAACTCCAGTGACAGAAGTGTTTTTTTTTTCCTTGTGAGTCATGGGTTGTGCACTACCCATGGATTTTGTACAAAAAGAGTGAATAATGGCAAGTTGTAACATGAGATTTCATAATAAAATTTTTTCAAAAATAAGTTTGTATTTTCATTTTGTTCTTGCATCTGTCTCTGTTAATAAGGTATGTGATTTTTTTTTCTTTTTAATAAAAGGTGCAATAAATAAGCTGAGAATGTACAAGTATTTACAAAAAAAAAACAGTCTAAACATGATCACAAATGTAAACAGCAGCTTACCAGAGGTATATTTTGTAATTTATGATTGGTTAGGCACATAAGGTATTTTGATTCTTGTTGGTATTAGTTTATCATTAAAATATGTTCTTTAAAATAAAACTCCATGTCATTCAAAGCTCACAGTAACATGTTCAATTGAAAAGATGTTGCCACTGAACACAAATCTTTTTACCCTCAGAGTTGAAAAAGCAAAAAGGGCTAATTTCAGAAAGCTGGCACAGAAAACGGTTCTGCCGGCTGTTTTTGACTCGCTGGATGTTTTTTCCACAATCTCTTGATGGGTTGTCAGGGGTGGAAGCGTTTGTTAACTTTGCGAGCGCAGCAACATGGAAATGGCCATTTGCGGTATGTCGGAGGGATAAGGCTGTATTCTTCGGTTCTTTGGAGAAAAACACAAGTTTAGCCACAACATGCATCACGTTGAACCAGCCTGGTGAATCGCAGCTCAGCGTGAGCCCGGCAAATATTGACACGGAGGGGATATTTGGAGTAGTGCACTACTAAAATAGCCTGCGGTCACTTTGGTTCAGTCCATATTATATTTTAGGAGGGCAAATATGGCTTGAGAAGAAAATACATTAGGAAAGAGGAAGGAAATATGAATCTACTGACTACAATATATCATTCACTTAGTAGTAGATTGTTTGAGTTAACATCTGCACTGTAAAGGAAATTGGGTTTATATTTTCCCGTCTCACTCAAACCATTTAAACACATTTTCTGTCATTTGACCAGGTGTTGTCACTGACTACTGTTGGTTTTCAGTGCTGTGATAACACTGAGTCGTTGTTGGTCAGTAATTATTCGAGACTCTTCTGAGAACTGATCCACCATATGTTTTCTTTTTTTTTTTGGGTTGGAGAGGAGAAAGGGAAGGAAAGCAGCGCTCGGACTGGTCCCGCAACAGTTATGCCCTCCCCCTCTCAGTGAGGTGGAGGGTGCAGTAGCCTCTCAGGCATTCATACACACACTTCCATAAACATAATATACGAACTTAAACACTCCGTCCTCCCC